ACTGTAACACTGGACACCGCAATGCACTGTACACTGTAACGTACTTAGCACCAAAATGCACTGTACACTGTAACGTACGTAACACCAAAATGCACTGTACACTGTAATGTACGTAACACCAAAATGCACTGTACACTGTAACGCACTGGACACAGCAATGCACTGTACACTGTAACGTACTTAGCACCAAAATGCACTGTACACTGAAACGTACTGGACACTGCAATGCATTGTACACTAACACACTGAACACTGCAATGCACTGTATACTGTACCTGGTGCCTGGTGTGCTCTTCTCCTCCTCTCCTGTTGCTCCACTGGCTGCAGAGAAATCAGCCTGAAGTCAGAGGTGATTCTTCACCAGGCTGCCATTCGCTAGGTCCTCACAGCCGAGGACCCAGTGAGCAGCTTAGCTAGTTGCCAGTGTTTTTCTTTTTTGACCGGCCTGGTGGGCTGGGTAAATTACTTTGGCAAGCTGAATCCGGCCCGTGGGCCGTAGTTTGAGGACCCCTGCTCTAAAAGGTATATCTCTGTCCTTTCCCACAAAGCCAGACCATCTCATAGGCAGACTCTCACAATTATATGTTTTTTATAATGGAGATTCAACTACAAACTATGATATGCAGCCAAGGATTACCCAGATTGAGTCACATAAAAACTGAGTTCATGTTTGTGCAGATTTTATCTTTTGTGTATTACTATGCAGTGTGTATGCATGGTCATTCTGACACTGTTTTGCACATGACTAATAATGGGGACTTTGTTATGTGCCAGTCCCCTGCATTTAAAAGAGTGGGTTACCAATCTCAGCAGTCATTTGTCAGTGTATTGGAGTAGTATATGGACAGATGACAGCTTGTGTAGGGAGAGATAGTTGCTATTCTATGTTATATTGCACTAAATAACTGTGGATTGCAGTGTGGTGGTATATACACCCCCCCCTTTCCATTTTAACAGGACAGAGATTCAACAGTGAATGTCAAAATGATGGACAAATAGGAATTTGTGGAGTGAAGGAGACGGTGGCAAACCCAGACATCAATTTAAAGTATTGGGGCCTTGCCTGTCAGAACAGCCAGAAATTCTGCTGCAATGGCAGAGTAGCTGATCATGCTGTATTTATGTATTTAATGGTATAGTCTCTTTAAATCATATTTGGCTTTGTTTTGTCATTTCATTGAACTGAATGTTATGTAACCTGAGGTCTAGATAAAGTGATACATATACAACAGGTCATTACCGGACCTGCATCTGTTTTTTTCACAGTGCATTTGTTTTTGGTGAGATGTGCAAGATGAGGGTAGTGATTACTTATAATGATGACATGTTGTGAAAAGGTATACAGAGCTGACAAGAAGGGGCTTGAAATGATTCTGAATCTCTTTCTCAGATCTTTTCAAAACATGGTATTAAACTTATAAATTACGTTAGGCTCAGTGGTTCACACCAACTAAATTATTAGATAAATATGTCCTAATCCTAACACAATAATATAGAGAAAAATACTGAAGCAGTTTTTGTTGACTGTGACAACCTATCAAATTCTAGTTGGCTTTTTTTTTCAAGCTGGAGAGTGAAAGGAAGATCAAAATAGTCTCAGCAGCTTAGACACTTTCTCTATAGACATATCTTATAAATGAGTTCAAGGTTAGGCTGGTCCACCCTAACGAACAAGTACTTTTGGGAAATTCCAGAACAACCAGTGTGTGGGCCTACACAAGACCAAATATACTGTGCTCATGGCGCACATCCATGTCAGGTCATTATGTGAAAAAGAAGATTTTTGTTTTACGCAATCCAATGAATGTGATGTTTCGTGTGAATGCTTATCTCACTTCACACCATTGTAAATCAGACCCAAGCTCACTTCACCTCCTTCCTAACTTCATCTCACTTCACAATGTAGTATGACAGGCCCCTAGGGCTAGATACAGTCTCTGTCTTCTTTCATACTGGAACATATTGTTCCAGTTACAGTGTAATGACACCTTTGAATAAGAAGCACGGGCCTTTTTTTTTACCTCTCTGATATCTTTTCCCACTATGCCCTCTTCTGCTTGAAATTATGCTCATTAACAGTTGGGATTCTGTCTTTGATATTTAACTACAGAAAGGATTGCTTCTGCTGTGAACTATTAAATATCTCATTCCCCCTTTTCCATTTTTTAAATATAGAAGGATATGTCCCTGGCTGTCACTGAATATGCTACTGCTATTAAGTTAAGAATCTACAGTATACATTAGATCACTGGTTCTCAATCTCTGGGTCATGGTCTCTCGCCTACCAGGCTTCCAGCCAGCTACAAATTCCCTAGCCTCTCACCATGTCTCTCAGGTTCCATAGAACACTGGCTTCCAACCTCCCATAGTAGATCAGAGTGCCCCCAGCCTAATGCAGTGCCCCTAGCCTAATGCAGTGCCCCTCCCCAGCTTACTGCAAAACCTCCAGCCCCCACAGTCCTCCTAATCTCCAAAAGTGTCCCAAAGTGCCCCTGCTAAGTCCACAGCCTCCTGTGAGATCCCCCCAGTCCACTCCATTCTTCACAGTTGCCCCTTATATCCTTCAGAAACCACATCCCCACAAAGTCATCAAGTCTGCTGTAGAGTCCTCTTACTCCCTCCAGAATCCCCATCACCAACATAGGGACACTGAAACCCCTCCAGAGCCTTTCAGTATTTAAATACATATTTTGCATTTCCATACTTGTATTTTGTATATTTTGTAGCTGATGGATTGCTATTAGAAGCACTGGGAGGCCGAGACTTTCTCAGGCACTCCCATGCCAACAGGAGACCCAAGCGATCAGCCGGCATAAGTGGTAATCAGAGGCCAGAACAGCTCTGATCACCTCTATGATATAGGAAACTGGAAGTGATGAGCATACATCACTTCCGGTTTCCCCGAATATAAACAGTGCCATTTTTAAAAAGGAAAAGCAACTGAACACACTGATCTTGGTGTGATCAAATGCTTATAAGGGCAAAGGAGACATCTGGGGTCTAATAAACCCCAGATCTCTCCATAAAGCGTACGTGTCGCTGCCTATTGCTATCTCAGGGAGTATTTATATTCCCTGTGATAACAATAAAATTGATTTTAAAAAATTGAAGCGACACTGTAAATATAATTAAAACAAAATAATAATAATTTAAAAAATAATTTAAAAAGTATTTTCAAGCACCTCCATCCCCCGTGCTCAAGGCAAATGCACACTTCTGTCCTGCACACACTCAAACAGCGATTGTTCCAAACATGTCAGGTATCAACGCAAATGTCAGATTGTGGGCAGTAATTCTAGCACCAGACCTCCTGTGTAAATGTGTAACCTGGTGTTTAAAGTGGCATGGTAAAATTTATGCCGTTTGTCACTGTTGCACAGACATGAGAAATTTTAAAGAATGACATGTTTGATATCTATTTACTCAATTTTTAACATCATCTTTTATATTTTACCAAATATTTGGGCATTATATTAGGTGTTTGTGCAATAAAATTCAAAAAAGTGTATTTTTTCTGAAAAAAAAAAAAAAGCATTTGAACACAATGTGACATAAAAAATTGCAAGAAATTCTGATTGACCCTCTGTGCACGGGTATATACCCTTTCCAGCAGACTTTGCAATAGAGAATAGGGATATTTTCTTAACCTCCTGGTTTCACAAGTGACACTTACTGAGGCTAGATTCACATCTGTGTGGGTGGTGCCCAGGGGCGGACTGACCATTTGGAAACTCGGGCACTGCCCGAGGGTCCGGGGTCAGTAGGGGGCCCCATGAGATGCCCCGGTACCTTTTTCATAGGCTTTTTTGAGTTTGGGGAAGGACACAGGGGCCCCATGATCCTTATTGCCCGGGGGCCCCATGAGTTGTCAGTCCGCCCCTGGAGGTGCCACTGCGGATCCGCACAAAAATTTGTGCAGCTGCACCACCCGCACAGAGGAATGCGGACCGCGGGTGGTTTTTTCAGGGGCTGCGTTTTCAGAAGAAGTGCAGGGACTTCTTCCCTGCGTGTTACGGGGCACGGGAGTCCATTCGAATTAATGGGATCTCGTGCCCACGCAAAATGCGGCCCTCACGGCCGCATATATGTGAACCAGGGGTAAAACTGGAGCACTCAGAATCAAGAACGAAAAGGCAAAAACGCAAAACGCAATGCAAAAAAACGGCTCAAATGCAACCTGCATAGGTGTGAACCTAGCCTTAAGCTTTGACAATAAAACCTGGAAGCGGATTGGTTTTTATGCACAGCTGCACCAAATTTTGCATGCTCCAGTTCTCCAGTAAATCCCCCTCATTGACAGTAGCAGGAGCCATAGTTTTCTGCTGCTTTCAGTTAAACTTCTGTGAGAATTGAGCAAGGCATGGCTTACCAGCACTGTGTTTGTGTCTATGAATGCACACAGCCTGACTTGGGTACACGCATGCATGGGTGCCCCCTTAGCACCCAGCTTGCTAAGGAGGCACCCAGTGCAGGGAGCAGTGGACAGCACTGGCGGGGGACTGCCAAAGAGGAGGTAAGGGACTGCTCTGTTCAATATCATTGCAATATCAAAGCATAACACCTTTTTTTTATTTTAAGACAAAAGAAACACTTTAAAGGAAAGCTACATCTTTACATCGAATCAACAAGACAGGTCGGTATCCAAGCAACTAGCATTTTCATAGGGAAACCAGTGATGCCAGCATATACACTTCTCTTAATACAGATTGCCTGTAACATGAAATGCTAATGCTTATGTATTAAAATGCAGAACGATGTACTGTTATATATGCTGTAGAATGCAGATCATTTCTGTTTCCCTGTTTGAAGATGTTATGTGATAAATGGTAATCTACCCGTAGGTGGTGCAGACTACATACATATATTGTTTATGAAACTTTATGTGATAAAACTGGTATTTATGAGCTATTGCTATGAAAAAAAGGGTTCCAGCTATAAGTGATGTTATTGATGGTGGTGGGCAAAGTTTGCTGAACTGACAGGGAACATTGATCCACGTTGCATAGATCATTCATAACATTTGAAATGACAGATGGGCAGAATGTCAAAGCCCACTAAAGACCAGGGGTGGACTGACAACTCATGGGGCCCCCGGGCAATAGGGGACCATGGGGCCCCTGTGTCTTTGCCCAAACTCAAAAAAGCCTATAAAAAAGGTACCAGGGGCATCTCATGGGGCCCCCTACTGACCCCGGGCCCTCGGGCAGTGCCCGAGTTTCCAAATGGTCAGTCCGCCCCTGCTAAAGACTCATGAACTGAATGGCAATTTAATATAGCTGAGGAACTGAGCATAATATACAGAATTTATGTTACAGGTAGAATATGTAAAAAATCTGAACTTGGGCTTTAAATACTTATGTTGTGGGATGTTCAGTTGAGTAATAGAATTTTAATAATGAAAAAAAACATGTTCTTTATAAATGCTTTCCTTTATATCAAAATCGGGACTTTCCATCAATTTGTAACATAATAGAACACCCCTTATTTCCAACCTTGCAAGGTTCAGGATGTTTATTGGCACTTCCCAGAAAAGAAAATATATATGATTTCGGTATCCCTCAAGCCTTCCTTCTTTCCCCAGCTTAACCTGCTGCTCACCATTAAGAGATATTTTTGTGGAGTCCCACTAACCACAAGCTGAGATACATAACACAGTCACACTGCCACAGTATAGACATAATTTAAACAAACCACACACTTATTATGTATTGCCAGACTTCTCCGCATTTTTCCCCAACTCTATAAACAGTCGTGGTATAGGATGAGTCACTGTATCCCACCACCTGCTGCCAAACTACTGTGAAGTCCTTCTTCAAAATTCCCCGCTGCATCTGGAGCAGAACTGCAGATCTTCCAGCTGTCTGTAACATATTGTACATTTCACTCCCAACATACTGTACAACAGAAGAGGTACTCGAGATTCGCATGCTGGCTTCCCAAATGTTATTCAGCCGCTGTTCTGGGACTCCAGAAATGCACGTTTAACATTCAGAATGATTTTTGTAACATTTTTCTGATTGAAACGTTTTAGTTCAGAGTGGTTTTAAAAAGTGTTGTTTATAACATTGGAAGTATGTTTTTCATGTCTACCAAGGACACTCAGCTGTAACTGCCCTTCTGGCAAAGACTGTCATCCCCCTCACTTTTTACCAGACAAAATAATCGAAAGGGTGACTATACTGGTTTTAGTTAAATTTTATTTGTTTGTTTTTTATGTTTCTAGTTTGTATTTTATAATTGTTTTTAGTATACTCTATATAAACCTTACCATTTGAAACATGAAAAAGAATTCCCAGAACACTTTGTGTTATTTAAACAGACAGCACTGCATGAACTGTTTCACGTGTGTGTAGATTTCAGTTTCAGCTATTTAACTCTGTAAGCAACAGCCTTTTTACAGCAAAAGAGCAAAACACACAGAGGAAAACGTGTGGGAAGAAGCTTAAAGTGTTTTTAAAGATTCTTTTTGTTTTTTTAAATAAAATAGCAAACATGTTATACTTACCTGCTCTGTGCAAAACCTGCTCTGTGCAATGGTTTTGCACAGAACATCCCTGATACTCCTATTCTCGGGTCCCCTGCAGATAGTTCTGGCTCCTCCCTCCCTGCCAAGGGCTCCATAGCAAGCCACTTGTTATGGAGGCATCCATGTGTGCTTGTCTCTACCCGTTCCCTCCTCACTGGCTATAGTTGACAAAAGGATTGTTCACGCCACCTTGAAATACATATCTATCTATCTATCTATCTATCTATCTATCTATCTATCTATCTATCTATCTATCTATCTATCTAATCTATCTATCTACTGTATATACAGTATATATAGATATAAATCTAAAACTGGTTTAGAGGTACTCACTGGTCTTTTTAGCCCACATGCACACTGGATGTTTTGATAACGCTGGTAATGTTAGCTGTGTAAAGTCACGTTAAAAATGTGAGTTTTTCAGCTTTTTTTTGCGTTTTGTAGAGTTTTTTTTGCAAAAAAAAACGCCAGTTTGCAGCGTTTTTCAGCATTAGAGCGTTTTCACAGCTAAAAAAAACTCCTCTAGAAAGCCACTAGTCCTGGGGTTTTTTTCAGCCAAAAAATGTCCCTGTCAAAAAATGTTGATTACAGTCTATGTGTGCATGGACACATAGGATAACATGCTGGGGAGTTTACTGGCTGTAGAAAAAAATGTCAAAAGCCAAAAACAGCAGCTGTAAAAACGTCCAGTGTGCATGAGGCCTAATTGTCAGCATTTCGATGAAGCTCAGTCCATCTTTCTCAAGACTGAGCTTGACTGAAATATTGACAGTAAAAACACTGCTGTTTTTGATCTTCCTCCTCTGCAAGACCCGTGAGTGCCTTTAAACCAGTTTTGGATTTATATGGATTTCTTTGTGGGTGAGCACATTTACTTCAAATACAGAGTGCTGTGGCTACCCTTGGAACTATATAAATATAGATAGATATGAAAAAATACACAGAACACCAATGCATTCCCTTTAAAAACGCCACATGGCATTTACAATTAGAATGTTGTCACGTTTAAAATCAAAGTTGAATTATGGTTACAGAATAACAACATGCTCTTCTTAGCATAACACAGTTGAAGATCGGACCCCATTGCTTTCAATGGGTTCATGGATGGAGTCTTGAAATGCATTTTGTCAAGTCTGTGAACAGCTGATTGGCTGGGTAAAGGAATGTTAAAATGGGTCAAATGCAAGGAGTTAATACAGAAGCTTTTCATTTACTTTCTAAAGCTGGAAATCCCCTTTAACCAAAAGATGATATTAACAGCATGAGTTACAGTGATATGTAATTACAATAGTATCATAGAATCATTGCGCTTGGAAAAATAGAAAGTTAGCCTTTCTGGACGGATGGGATATCTTATTTCTGTAGCAGCCCTATTCAGTTAGCCAGCGTTTTATTACATCACACGCATCTCAATCCCATATATACATAACTCATGCAATTACACTGTTTAAGAAAACAAAAACCACATGTCATTGTTAGAATTCCAATGCTATTGACCTAATAGTGGTTAATGTTACATTATCTTGTGCTTGTTACAAAAATACCCTAATGTGAGGTAAGAGCCATTCTTTTTACAAATGTAAAGAAATAAAACTATGACTACATTTCAGTTCTTAGTTTACAGTCAGACAGGGAAATTTCTTCAACTAAACTTACATGAAGAACGTGACTGGACATCCAATTAGGTGCTGTGCACTGGGGTCCAAGAAATGTGTAAGACCTACAAGAGTGTGGAAAAACAATACTGGCCACTACTAATGCACTCATCTATTTTGTGTTTAGCTTAGAAAGTGCTGTAGTTTTTTAACTTAATTTCTCATTTTAGGTTTATAAAAAATTGCTACTGACAGGAGCCCACAATTTCGGACACTTTGGGGTTCATTTACTAAACTGGAGAGTGCAAAAACTGGTGTAGCTCTGCATAGAAACCAATCATCTTTCAAGTTTTTTGTCAAAGCCTAATTGAACAATTTGAGGTTAGAAGCTGTTTGGCTACCATGCACAGCTGTACCAGGCTTTGCCCTCTCCAGTTTTAGTATATCAACCCCTTTTTGTCCATGGATTGGGTCAAAAGGTTTCCCTTTTGCACTGCTGGGACATAACTAACTGTTTGTGTGTCTCCAATCTGCATTGTGGTATTACTTTTTTACTCTAGATCAGTGTTCCTTATCAAGGGTTCCTAGGACTCCAGAGAAGGTCACATGGTTTCCACAGCTAGAGGGGGCAGAGCAGGGTGAGGAGAGGGCACAATGTGCTGGGGCTTGAATGTGGTGACTTGTACACAGCAAGAACAGTGACACCCCTCCACCCAGGAGGAGGATCCAGCAGACCGTTTCCAGGAAGTGGCTGCCTTCCACATTCTGTATAGGTCCACCTGAAAGTGTGGATCTGGGGATTTTGAGCTGTAGGGTAGCTGAGGTGCAGGTTAGTGAAGTGGGTTATGGCGAGTCTGTGGTTGTTATTTAATAAAAATGACAGCTCTGAACCCATTATATGTCCTCTGTACACCCCTGCCTATTACTCCAAGCACAGGGCTTAAGAGGTAAGATAGGTGGCAAGGATAACAATTATAAGGTAGTGTGAGGATTTCTTTAGAGGACAGCAGGCGAACTGACCTATTTTCATTATTATTTGTGCTATAATTATGTTATTAATTGTAACAGAAGCGTAGGCAGGACAGAACACACAAAGAAGATGGGGAACACACAAAGCTTTATTGAACTATGAAAGACATTCAATCAGGACAGTTCATGGCACTCCGTGACATGCGGCCTGTAGGGACACCCACGGTAAGCGGGCTCACGGGGACTCAACGGGACCTTGGCAATGGGGTCTGACCTCAGCACAACCCCCACACAGCTTTCTAAGGACAACATCAGGCTCACGGGGACTCAACGGGACTTTGGCTGTGGAGTCTGACCTCAGCACAGCTCCCACACAGCTTACTAAGGACAACATCAGGCTCACGGGGACTTAGCGGGACCTTGGCTGTGGAGTCTGGCTTCAGCACAGCTTCCACACAGCTTACTAGGGACAACATCAGGCTCACGGGGACTCAACGGGACTTTGGCTGTGGAGTCTGGCCTCAGCACAGCTCCCACACAGCTTACTAAGGACAACATCAGGCTCACGGGGACTCAACGGGATTTCTAGGGACAACAGCAGCCTCACGGGGACTCAACGGGACTTTGGCTGTGGGGCCTGGCCTCAGCACAGCACCCACACAGCTTTCTAGGGACAACAGCAGCCTCACGGGAACTCAACAGGATTTCTAGGGACGACATCGGCCTCACGGGGACTCAACGGGTAGCGATGGTTCAAGCACTCAGGGGGGCAGTCCAGGTAGCTATACTCCAGGCATGCCATGGGGCAGTTCAAACAAGGGTGGTCTGAGTGCACAATAAGGAGAGTTCATGAAAGGGGTGGTCTGAGAGCACAACAGAGGCAGTTCATGACAAGGGGGGTCTGGGCACACAATAGGGGCAGTTCATGACAAGGGTGGTCTGGGCACACAATAGGGGCAGTTCATGACAAGGGTGGT